CCCGCCCCACACCCTGCCGGGGCAGCCCCCTCCTGCGGGTGGAACCCGCTCCTTCTCCCCCTCCTTCCCAATTTTCTGTCCCGCTTTACCCGTTCTCTCCCTCTTTCCGGTCTTTTTTTCTTTCATTGATGTTTTTTCCTTTTTTCCTTCTTTTTTGCTGTTTCGTCATCTCATCCTCCCTGCTTTGTTGTTTTTCTTTTTTTCCTCCCTTTTCTCTCTCTCCCAGGCCACAGGGCTCAGAAGATAAAGCTTTCTCGTTAACAGTTCACTGGTTATGCCTACATAGTAAAAAATGTGTAGCTTGATGAATGTCTTCCAGATGGTTAATTGAAAAAAACGAGGGGGAGAATGCACCAATCTCTCCCCCCGTCTTCAGCACTCTGCACACATACATTGCATAGGAAGAAAACTGCATTAAAGGGTGAGGGGAGCAATATATTTGAGAAATAGAGGCAGCCTGTGAACCCCAGGGTGGTGTTTCCAGGCTGGTGAGTTAGCTGTTGGTTTGCTCTGGCCCTGCTTCATGCCCTCTTCCCTCATCAATCCCACCCCAAAATTCCCCATCCCAGGGAGCGATGCTGCTTCATGTACGACATGGAACACACCCAAACCCACCTCACACCCTCGTGTGAACGTTTCTGCAGGCACGGTGCCGCTCTGCCCCCACCCTGTGCTCTGACACCCCCAAAGCACCACAGACCCTCATTCTCTCCCCATGTTTCTTTTTCGGGGGGATGCACACCCACATGTCTTTCATGAATCTTATCGTGCAATCGGTTGCACAAGAACGACTCCGCTACCCGAGCCGTGAGCCCATGGGAGCGGAGGGGCCCTGGCTATGGGGTCTGGGATTTTGGACTTGGCAGTGCCAGGGTGGGTGCAATGAACGGGGCACGGGTGGGTGGGGGCTGCAAGTAGGGTCACTGGGGTGACTCGGAAGGAAAGAGGGGTGATAATGTGGTCAGCTGTTCTTCTCCATAGGTCATTGCTGGGTAATTTAATCAGTGCATCTTCTGTTTGATGGACATGTGTCAGCCGTCTGCCTCTTACGAACTGACATGCCTCCTCTCTTCCCTCCACTGCCCGTGGCTCTGCCTACTCCTGTTTCTTTGTCTCTCTCAAGGGAGAGACAGAGGAGGAACACAAATCTCTCCTCACCCCATTAATAGAGATACTGCCTTGCTGACATGAGTCACAAAGGGTTTAAGCCGTGCAGTTGAGGGTGAGCAGCACCCAGCCCCCCACCTCGCACACCTCCCACCATGGATCTCCCTGGTTTCCCAGGAAACAGTGGCCCCAAATGCTGCCTGACTTTCACATCTGCCTTTCATTTCTCCTTTTTTTTTGTCAGAAAAAAAACACACAACTGATAATTTTTCTCCCTTCCCCTTTCAGGATCACCACCACGGCCGCTTGCATGATGGACCTGCGGAGGTACCCCCTGGACCAGCAGAACTGCACGCTGGAGATTGAGAGTTGTGCGTATGCTTCTCACTCGCCCTCTGCCATGCGGTGCCACCCTGTGTCACCTGCCCTAGCCGCAGCTTCTCACTCATGAGATGCCTCCCAGGGGTGTAAAGGGCCACCCCTCCTGCAGGATGTCCCCTGGGGCAGGACCAGGCTTCCCTATCCAAAATCCATCCTGAGGGGACCTCCTAGGTGAAATGCCCAGGAAAGTGGAGCTCTAGCAGCAGGCTAGGCATTAAAATCACTCTCACCCTCAGAAGGGTGGTGGAAGCCTCCCTTAGCTCTACGAAAGCCCTGGGAGCCTGCCCTCGCTTGTGGCTGGCCCTGCTCTGTGTGGGAGGTGGGACCCGAGTCCTTCCACAGCCCCTGCACACCTGGCTCTTCCCTTGACTCCGATGGAAAGCCTCTCCTGACCACGCTGGAGGAGGAGGTCCGGCTCTCCCTCATAAAAATGCACCAGAGTATCCCCACAGGAGCGGTCCAGAGCAGCAGATCTCGCAGTAATGATGATGCAGCTTCAGTGGTGATTATCAGAGAATTGCTTTTTTCATAAAAGAGGTCCCACAGCATCTGTAGTTGGAAGGTGCCGTGCTGCCTTCCTAGCTGTGCCTGTGCCTGGGATCCCCCTTCCCACTCGCTGCTCGGGTTTCTCGGGATGCGCAGCCATGGCAGCGCTTGGTGCGGCAGGTAATGGGATGTAAATTAGGTCCTGCTGGAGACACTAATGACATGTCATTTCTGGCACTCCTTAGCATTTTGAGAATAGTTTATGGTACAACCAAGAAAACAGAAGGCAGAGAATTACCCACAGTTCCCCATGTTGCAATTTTGTTCTTAATGGGACATGTTAAGCCAATTTATTAGTCGAAGCTATGTTTCCTTACAATATTTCTAAGATCCATGCAGAGTTGTAGAGATTCAATTGTTTCTTTCCTCAGAGCTTTTGTCTTTCAAACACTTGCACGTTTAAAATCCACAGGGCTCCATTTTGTTTGCTTCCAAGTCCACACAACTCTGGAATACCAGTCCTTTCATGGATGGCTTAAAAAACAAAGTATATAAAAAAAACCCTAGAAAACCTCACCAAAATAGCCCTTTTGTGGTGCAGGGGTGCCGGGTTTGTAAAGCAGCAGTGGGCAGATGGAGTCTCATTCCCCACAGCAGCTTGGGGCACTTACCTGCAGGAGATGAGCCAGTGCTGGCACTGCCTTTTGATCCCATCCCTCCATCTCGAAAATAGCCCTCACTGCGCGTACCCCTGCCTAGCTGTGTGCCAGGATTCAACAAAAACCTGATGAGGCAGGCAGCAAACAGGCTGTTAATCTGACATTTTAAGACATCGTATCAATACTTTATGATATTTCAGGTTGAAATGACTTGTCTTTGTGAAAGTTCTTTTGCTTTTAAAAAGTAAAATGGAAATTGGGTTTTCTTTTTAGAGCTAGAAATCAAAGTGAAGCATGTATTTTTAGACTGAACAACCTTTCCCTTTAGAATCATTTTTTTAAAATGGCTTCCCAAAAACCATGTTTGATTTCATATTGCATAATGTCATAACACAAAAAATTACAAAAAATCGGTACCCAATACCAGCAGGTCATAGAATAAATGGAATAGTGGTAGTTAACTGCGAGATCTCCTAAAATTAGTTACTGTAATTTGACATTTTCATTGCTGATCAGGAAGTAAATTTGAAGTCACTGCTGTTAAATTTGTGGATGATGAAGATAGCAGCCTGTGGCTTGCTGGCTGCACATTTGAGTGCCTCCCGATTTGAATACATCCAGAATGCATTTGAATACAGAAAAATGCGGAGGGCTGAGTGCAGAACTGACTGCCAGACCGAGGGACTTGAACCCACGCGGGCATCAACGAGGGGAAGGGATGAAGGGATGGCAGCCCCGAGCTCCACTGCTGGAAGTTTCGTGGAGGGCTCTGGCGAAAAGGGCTGGAGTGAGCCCTGGTTATGTAAACCAGGGGAGCTGTGAGTCAGAGCAGGCAATCGATTGGCCTCTGGATATGTCGCTGGTGAGAGGGGGAGAGGAACTCTGTCTATATTTGGTTTCCAAAATTTAGAAAGGAAGTTGAGAAATCAGAAGAGGTTGAGAAAAGATGCTAAAAAGTGGTTCAAGAGCTGGAGCAGATGTTTTGCAGTGAGAAACCTCAATAGCTCAATCTGGTTTGTTTACTGCACAGGAGGTGGAGAGGTGACTTGTTTACAGGCTGGGTGCACCTCTGCAGAGGGGGAGCGCTGGGTGGGAAGGGCTTGGTAACCTCCTAGAAAAATTCAGAATAACCACCAGAGCCTCAAAGTCTGAGCCAGATGCATTCAAATGTAAAATCGCTCACAATTTTTTTAGCTTCAAGAGTGTTTGAGCCGCTGAAATCAGCCAGTGGGAGGAGTGGGGGACTTGGCTGTTTCTTGCTGCTTTCCACGCTTGGTCTCAGTGCTCTGCGAGAGAGACGCTGCAGCCAGGTGAAAATACCAGCTCCTGTGCACAAAGCTGGGGTGCGTGAGGCAGTACAACAGCCTGTGACACCCCAGCATCTGCAGCAGATGAGATGATAACCTGAGGGTCCTGGACCTCTGCAGGTTCGTGGGTGTGGTTCTTCTACAGTTTACTGCCCCAAGAGCAGGAGCATGCCATGGGGAAGGAGGGGGAGCCCTGGCTTAGCTGTTTTACACCAGAAGCATATCTGGCATGGCATTTGGAAGGTTGTTATTATTTTTTATCACCTGTGAATAAGCGCAGTAATGACTGAGAGCAGAGGATGTGGTCTTAGAGACTACACAGTCATCAAATAATTCAGTTTGGGAAGAGACCTCAGGGCTTCTCTAGTCCAGCCTCCAGCTCAAAGCAGGGTCAGCTATGAGATCAGACCAGGTTGCTCAGCTCTTTGACAACTCGGGGGCTGCAGAGGTTCAGCTCTGATCTAGGGTAACCCTTGGCCCCTAAGGCTAGGTAGAAGAATTTCTCCTCCATGGTACATTCAACAACTCTTCATTCCCCTGATCCCACTGATACACTGGTGCTGGTTTTGGTGGCAACTGTCCCTAGTGGGTGCCAGCCTTGCTGATTATTACTAGCCAGCTGCCTCTCTGCTGCTAGGGCTTGTGGATAAGGCAGGCTGTCACGCTGCAGCACGGGTTGTGAATAAAAGCTGTCTGTGGGCACAGGTGAAGTTCATGCTCTAAAGGAAGCCTTGCACCACGCCTTACCAAAGCCTCTACATATCTGACTGCTTCTTTGCACTGAGGTTCTCCCGTGCAGCTCCGCGCTTTGCTCAGAGTAAGAGGCCACCCCTTCTGCAGCAACAGCCACAGTGCTTCAAAACCCAGCTTGCCACAAGCAGCATTAATCTCCAAGTGGAGATGCAACCCGGCCCACAAGGGCATCGGGCAGGGCTGTGAACATCACATTGATGGAAGGGGAGCTGCATGACTTCGTCCCCAGGGCCTCACTCCCCATGAGTCCATAGCATCCAGGGAGTCTTTCTCCTGGGACTGTGGCTTTGGGCTCCTCAGCACTTCCAGTCTGTGCAGCCCTGTTTGGCATGTATTGTTTGGGGTTAAAGTAAGAAGCTGTACCCTTGTCTGAGTTAACAAGTCCATTACCCTGAAACGTAAAGGATGAGTACCCGTTACCAGCCTGGCTCCTCTTCCTCTCTTCTCCCATTACTGCTCTTTTCGGCTAGCACTTGGTAAAAGCGGCCCCTGGTCTCAGAGACTCTGTCCACTTCCCAGCTTCAAATTTTGACTGAGAGTACTTAGAATAGGGAGGTGCTCTGATGCTCAAATTTCTTTTCAACTGCTGTTGTAAATCTTTTTTTCTCCGGGAATTTTCAGTACCTAGGTGCTCTATTTACCCAGTCCCCACGAGACTGCGTCGTGTGATCTCCCTCTTCTGGTAAAAGGAGGCAGTTTTTAAAAAGCAAAATGTGGTGCCTTTGACAGAGGCTTCTGATGCACAAGTCCCTGTCACGTCAGCCATAGAGCTTATGTAGCACAAGTCAAGGCATGATGGGCCTTTTCTCACCTTTTTCTCCTGAATTCCAGCCAGAAGCGGGAGTTCTGACCAATTTTTTCCTCTTCTCCTGGGGACTGTACTGCCAAGCTCAGCTGAAGAAGAAATGTACATCGGCAAGGAGGGGCTATGCTTGCTGTCTGATGGTGCAGGCTTTCCTTTGGATCCTCTTCCAGATCACCTTAGTGAAAAGGGGGTGTCATCTGCTCCAGCTTGTCAGCTTAGTTCTCTCTCTGTGCTTCTTCATCTCTGCAGATGGTTACACAGTTGATGACATTGTCTTCTTCTGGCAAGGAAACGATTCTGCTGTCACAGGGATGGAGGTGCTAGAACTGCCCCAGTTCACCATTATTGAGCAGAGGCTGGTCAGCAGGGAAGTGGTCTTCACCACCGGTGAGTCTCTGCTGAAGGGATGCGATGGAATGTTCAAACCTTCTACTGATCAACATCCATGTGGTTGTTCTCTGATTCAGATTAAGGCACTAACTTAGGACCTAGGCTTCAACTTAGGGTCCTGTTCCTTTGGAAAAGGTATCTTCTGTGCCCACCAAGTTTGCTTTTTTTTTTTTTGTCTGCTTCTCTTCAGAGACAAATGGGATCATTTTTTTTTGCTGCAGTTGTTTTCATTTCTTAGTCAAAACACCAACTGAGCTCAAAACAGAACCTTCTTAGAAGGGTCTCAGCTTTTACCTTATTTTTATGTGGTTTGCAACCGGCTCTTGAAGCTAATGTAGACGTAATAGTATGCAGAAGACTATATCAGTTGAAAAGGAAGTTGCCTATGAAATGACGCAAACCCATCTGTGCACAGCACAGATCTAGAGAGAATACCTTGGACAATTCAGATACTGCCAGTTGGAAAGTTGGAGGGTTTGGATTTTGATTGCTGTCTTCACTTTGATCTGGCCTGGAGTTCACTGCCAAGACAGCATGCCACACACCTGTTAATTAAGACAATTTTTAAAATGCCATGAAATCACAGCCCGAGTCTATCAGCGGTGGTGGCAGATGGTGATGTTGTTACAACAGTGCCTCGGGGCATGCTGGGAGCAGGGTCCCATTGCTATAGTTATCTAGAGTCCCACAACAAGAGGCAGCATTCCTCCAAGAGAAGTTTGCAGCCTAGATAGGTAAGACCTTCAAAAAAAGCCTGGTGAAATACAACGTTCAAGTTACACAAATAGCACATAATGGTGAGAGAACATAACCTCCTTTTTCCCAGTCTACCTCCTGGATCATTAAAGACTGTTATTCTCTTGTTATGTTAGCTGCCAACCTGTGATTACCCCCATATTTCAGGCTGCTGTGTTGCCTAAGGGATGGAGGTGGGAAGGAGGAATGACTTGGACTTTGTTTCACAATAATGGCCCTGCTTTGTCCTTGTCAAAATGAGCCTGCTCCAGTGGAAGGATTGTAAAAGTACTTATTGTGGTCACTATCCCAGTTAGGTTTGCTAAAAGATTAGGAGGAAGTTGCAGCAACTTCGGGGAAAAAAGATTTTAAAAAAGACCTACAGATTAACTAACAGTACTCTATTTGCATATGAATTTGCCCAATCTGACCATAACCCATTTTTAGAACAGCATGGGAAAAAATACAATTCAGATCTTCATTGCTGTTTGGAGGAAAAACTAGCACATGAAACATTGGAAAATGATCTCACTGCATCCAGATATAGGGTTAAAGTATCGTATGTAAGCCTGTATCAAATTGGCACATACCATAATAACAATTTCAGCACTGAATAGACATTCTCCCATGATGTCTGATATAATAACATAATTTCTGTAGAGTTTCTTTTCTTCTTAATATTCTGAGCCAAGTGAGCAGACTCTGAAGAACCTCCTTCTAAAAACTGATGAGTCTGCAAAACCAAATAAAGAAGAAAAAAAAAAGAGAGATTTCTCATTATCCCTGCCTCTTGGGAACATTTTCAAAGTAACATTTCAATTCCTAACCTAAACTCTTGCCATAAATGCAGGCTTGCCCTCCTCTCAAACACCATCTCCCTTTAATATCTCATTGACAGGTTCATATCTGCGCTTATCTTTGAGTTTCCGGATTAAAAGGAACATTGGTTACTTCATCCTGCAGACTTACATGCCATCTATTCTCATCACCATCCTGTCCTGGGTCTCCTTCTGGATCAATTATGATGCTTCTGCTGCACGAGTGGCACTGGGTATGTACCTTTTCATTATAGCATGAAGAAAGTGTATTTTTGAGGGAGATCAGATAGGACAGCTGTAAGAAAGAAAATACGTTTTTCTTTATGAGGTAGCAACTAAGCAAGCCACATAGGTCTGTCAAACTTTCTGTTCCAAATGAGGGACGTATTTTCTGAGAACAAACTTCAAATTTACAGCCAGGAGAGCTACTTTTTTATTCAGAAGTATCAGTACTTCCCAAGCTTGAGTCCGTATTATTTGAATGAGTAAAAGTTCTACCATAAATTTCTGTGGGTGCAGGTTTAAGCTCTTTAACAAAAGCATAAATGATCACAGCTTCTCAGACATGTGAGACTCTGACATGCCATGAGCCCATAAGTTCCTTGACTCTGTTTTGTACTTGTTTTCTTAACAAGTCTGGGCACATCTTGGTCAACAGGTTGGATGTTGGATGATAAACACTGAGGGTGGATGGCCAAAAAGTAGTAAGAATGGTGAGTGGATGGCTAAAAGACGAAAAAAATGAAGTGGCATTACACATTTTCATGATAGTTTAGGCCCCATACAGACACTTTTTGTAGCTGAAGAACTTCATAACCAAGGCAAATGTGGGTCAGTAGTTAAAGTTCAAGTTCTTCTTCAGCACATATTCCCCTAAATAGGAATGTTTTCCTATAAGAGGAAAAAAAATGAGGTCTTTTAAGCAATAGAAGGGAAGTGGGGGTGGATTGCAGATGAGGATTTTGAAGAAGGAACAGGAGAAAGAGGGGATGGCTGGCATATGAGAATGGGGCTGTGCAACATGATAAAAAGTTCAGAGGAATTGGGAGAGCCAAGGAGGGAGAAAAATTTCATCTGTGAGTGGGAAAAGGCTCAGAGGGGCAATGGCAAACAGGTAGAGGCTGAGTCTTACAGAAAAGGTTGGGGGGTTAAATTAGCTCTAGGAGAACACAGAGCTTGAGAAGACTCAGAGGAGGGATGGTTTGTGCAAAGATATAAAATAGATAATTTGACTGTGCTTGCTTGGAGAGGCTGGAGCAGGGAGATAGGGAGGTAACAAGAAGAACATGGTAAATTAAAAAGGTAAGTTGCATTGGCAAGAGTATAATCAGTGAGAGAAGAAAAAGAGACCATAGCAGACATTGCTGGCACAGTGGAAGTAGAAGCAGAGGGTGGACATGAGATGCACAGCTGCTGAATTTCTGCTGACATCTGGATTCAATGAAGACAGAAGAAAAACATTGTAGATCAGAACTGGAACAGCTCTCCCTAAACTATTTCTGACAGCTCTCTATCTAAATTGTCCTTAAAACGCTCCGAAGAAGGAGACTCCACAGCCTCTTCTGGGCATTGTATCTCCAGATTTACCTCCTCGTACAGTCAAAAAAGCTCTTCTTTGCCTCTGCCCTAAGTCTTCATTGCAATTTGTCCAGTTCTTAATGGAGATGTGGAGAACATTCTGTTCTCCGTTTCTTTGCCCCAGATATCTGGATATTTAGACTACTGTCTAAATATAGACAATATAATATATTGTATGCATATAAATATAGCTCCCTTCTGTTTACTCTTCTGTGAATTGAAGACTATTAGTCCTTTAAATCTTTTATCAGGAATGACACTAAAGACATGATGAGGGTGAAGGGGAAACAAGACAAGCAGAAGTCCAGCGTGCTCAGAGAAGTTGGAGAGCCATCACTGTAGAGGTAGGGCTGAAACTAGAAGAGAAAATTAAGGTCATGGACACTGAGAGAGCTGCCAACAGAGAGATGAGGAGGGACACTAGAAGAAAAGGAGATCAGCAAGGTAGTAAGAAAAGCAGGACAGCTGAGCTAGAGAAGTGGGAAAAGACAACTAAGTTGAAGAGGAAAATTACCACTCCCAAAAGAAGCAGGAAGACTCATGGCCATTTTTTTGAAGCTGGCAGACGACTGTCAAAAAG